TAAAAACTGTTTTATGCCTATTGAATGCTCCTAAATATGTCTCACGTAAATAAATACAAAACGTGTACGTATTCTGCTGTGGATCAAACTGGAGGTGTAAGTTTTCCTTATGAACTGGTAAAGGTAATTATGTTTAAAAACTGTTTTAGGCCTACTGAATGTTCCTAAATATGTCTAACGTCAATAATTACAAAACGTGTACGTTTTTTGCTGTGTATCAGACTGGAGGTATAAGTTTTCCTTATAAACTGGTAATGGTAATTATGTTTAAAAACTGTTTTTTTTGCCTATTGAATGTTCCTAAATATGTATAACGTAAATAAATACGAAACGTGTACGTATTTTGCTGTGGATCAAACTGGAGGTGTAAGTTTTCCTTATAAACTGGTAAAGGTAATTATGTTTAAAAACTGTTTTATGCCTACTGAATGTTCCAAAATACGTCTAACGTAAATAAATACAAAACGTGTACGTTTTTTGCTGTGGATCAGACTGGAGGTATAAGTTTTCCTTATAAGCTGGTAAAGGTAATTATGTTTAAAAACTGTTTTATGCCTACTGAATGCTCCTAAATATGTCTAACGCCAATAAATACCAAACGTGTACGTGTTTTGCTGTGGATCAGACTGGAGGTATAAGTTTTCCTTATAAACTGGTAATGGTAATTATGTTTAAAAACAGTTTTTTTGCCTATTGAATCTTCCTAAATATGTCTAACGTCAATAAATACAAAACGTGTACGTGTTTTGCTGTGGATCAGACTGGAGGTGTGGGCAGAATAACGAGCAGATGGCCGGCTGACCCCTGAGCCCTGACCCCTGACCCCTGACCCCTGACCCCTCACCTCTGCGTGGCTGCCCGGGGCCAGAGTCTTGCTGCACCTCTCGCAGCGCAGACAGGGCCGGTGCCAGTTCTTCCCCAGGGAGGACACCTTCTCGGCTGCACGGAAAAAATAAAATAAATAAACACACCGTTAGACCGCCGTGGAGACGGTCGCCACGGCAACCGGCTGCCTCGGTCACAAAGACACACTCTGACAGCGTCTGAGGGATCCGCTCACCAAAGTACACCGTCTTGTTGCACCTGGGGCAGATGTTGGGCCCTCCGGAGAAAGACGAGAAGCTGGCAGCTGGAAGAGGACACAGATTTAGAAAATGGACGCCCTGAAATGTGTTTCTGAACGGTCAAGCGGTGAATAAAAATCCGCAGAGGGTCGTTTTCATGACGAAGAGAGCGCTTTTTTCTATTTTAATGCTCTACATATTTCATTCTCACCCTTCACCGGTCCCCGTGCGGGGGCTTTCCTCTCCTGCTCCGGCTTGGCATCGGTTTCCATGGAAACGGCGGCGGGGGCTTCGTTGACAGGGGCTACGTCGTACACGTAGGAGCCGGCCCCGCCGATGTTCACACCTGAAAACGGAACAAACGAGGCAATCATGCAGCCGCTCGCTCCAGAACAGTGGCTTCTTCTGCTCAAAATGGTTTTTTATTGTCCATCTTAGATTAAACGGCACCTTTGGGTCCAAAGAGGGTGGCGTAGCAGGGCTTGTGGCAGTAGGGTTTCCCATCGTGCTGCACAATGAGACAGAAAGCACGAACGTGAGACTGCAGATCTCTTTCTTTGATATCGATATCTCGCCGTTTCATTTATTCAAAGCACTTTGTAGCGAGAGACAAAAGAGCTAAAAATAAGCCTCAGTTCCTTTTGGCGTTTGAAAGCACCACACTTCACTTCACAGTCTTTAGAATGGAGACGGACGTGTCTTTTTTAGGGAAAACACACTTAGCCTGACTCTCCGTGTTTAAAAAGCGGTCAGACAGAAGGTATGCGGCTCTGTGTCTTCTGGCCATTTGTCATCCAGACATGGCTGTCTTTTATATTTTGCCTTATTAAGGAAATCCATCCCCAAAAAAAGTCGTATTCAGTCTTTTTTATGCTGCAACGAGCTGTTTTTGTGTTGGCTGACAACGCACATACAAACAGATTTGCCCTCCACTGACCATTCGTCACCACTGTTCAACACCCCCCCCTCTACTTAGACCGCCATTTTTCCCTTAAAAGTCCTTTTGAAGCTTGTAGAGGTGGCTGAAACCATGTCAGTGTCATTTATACTGAATATAAAAGCTGCTGCTGACAGCATAATGTCCAGTGCTTCTATATAAATACGCTGAATTTGAGCATTTAGGGCTCTTAGAGCTGTAAATATCAAACTGTGGAAAGGATTTGTGCATGTAAATGTATTTGAAATAATGGTGTGGCGACGCGTTATGTGTGGAATCTGATTAAAGAACTCTGATGTCACAGAGGGAAATGCACACTGGCTTTTTGTAACAATTTTACCCGAAAAAAACAGGAAGGTGAACCTTTTGTGGAGGGACATATTTCCTTTGTGGTACTGGGGTTGACCACAACTTTCACATCCCTGACTTTTAGCTATTTTGAAAACTTTGCTGCCTAAGATTAAGTGAGTAATCTTCATGAACTTTGTACAACCACTTCTCTTTTTTTTTACAGTCTCTTTTTCACACAATTCATAATTAATTATGTCGGCTAGACTTTATCACTTTAATATGGAAAATGTTACACAACATTTCCACATTTTGTGCTCTAAAACACACAAAATATATTCAAATGTGTTAATAGCTGTCGATTGAAGGGCCTTTTACAGCTTTGGTGTCCTCATTGAGACATTTTTTTAACAATGATTTTTGACTAATTAGCTTATCCTTAAAGGTGACACTATGGGGAAAAAGATGGATCCGGAAAATTGGCGAAAACTCCAGATAAAGTAAATGCAGAGACACAGACGATGAGCTCAGAATACCACATCCTGAATGTAAATGAGATTTAATCTCAGACTGATTCCTCTCACCTCAGCGTGACCTCCCGGGTTCAGCGTCTTGCTGCAGCGTTCACATTTCAGGCAGAACTTGTGCCAGTCTTTCCCTAAAGAGGACACCTTCTCCGCTGCAAAAAAAAAAAAAAGGATAAACAGCGGTTATTAGTTCAACAAATCACAGCAGAGATTTCCATTATCAAACAAAAACACATTTCATGATTCTTAACTTGATCTAAAATGGAAAAAAAAAAGGTTGGGCAACACAAAAAAACTAGACATGTCTAATGTATATAGAGAAAATAGAAAAGTTACATCTTAAAAATTGAATTTGCCAAAGTAGGAGTGGGAGAACATGCCTTAAAAATGAGTGGAAGGGAACAGAAAAGGTTTTTTCTCCGTATCCTAAATGCATTTTTCTTGAATTATCTCCTTCATGGTTGAACCCAATTATCTTTTTTGGGAAGAGAGAGCAAAAATATTTCATTTTCTCACACACGAATTTCCGTCCTCCACTCAGAATGCACAGAAATTAACTGACATCTTCTTTTTGAAGCCATTTTCTGAAGCAGAGCTTTGGCTTTAAAGGAAAACAGTCATTCCGTTTGACTCCTGGACCTAAGACGTGAGCGACAACCTGCATTATGACAGAGCCCCCGACTGTCTAAGTGATGGAAAACACTCAATGGCCACTCAAGAGTTCATATCAGCTTCAAGCACATTCTTTCCACTGCGTGCTAAAGGCCAGCCCCATGACTCACACATCTCCCTTTTCATCACAATTCAACCTTTTAGTTGAGATGCTCTCCATTCTCCTGTCCGCCTGAATTAGACTGTGAGGTAATCACATATAAAGCCACTTCTAATGGCCAGCTGCTTCACCCCCCCCCCCCCCCCACACACCTCTGCACGGCCTACCTTATGCAATCTCACTCAATCTGTCTGAAAACCCCCGCAAACATTTGCCTTTTTAAGGTTCGGACTGGCTGATTAAGGCTTTTTACCTCTTCTCACCAACATGCAAAGCTATTTCACCATCTCTTAAGGCCTTGAGTTTACATACAGACGATCTGAAGATGTCCATAAAGGAGTTTTTCTTGTTAATCACAGCACATAATATGTAACTAAAAAATATATCCTCAGTGGTTATTAAAGCTATCCCCAGAATTAGCATGCTGGCCTAGTTTGATGCCAGTTCCATGTAAGATGAGACAAAAAAATAGTGACACAGAGGTAAATAAAGCTGGAAATAAATCTGGAAATAAATCTACTTTATAGTATCTTTTTTTTAGGGAAATACGGCACAGTACATATAAATGTTAGACCAATACTGAAGATGATTTTACTGCTTTTCGTTCGTGTTAAAAACTCTCAGACTTTTGCTAAAGCAGCCAATGGCCCCATCTCTGAGGCTATTGTTGGAGGGATTGTTGGACGGATGAATGGAAGGACAGTGGGAGGAGAAGTTGGCCAGCAGTTTATCTGTTTCTTCTCCTCCCAAAAATATCCCGGCAGATACGCTGAGCCCCGATACGGCGCGACACTTCCTGTCCAGAGTCACCGGCCGGTCGGTCGGTCGGCCTGAGACGTGTCGACATCTGGACAGAAAAAGTCTGCCACCAAGTTACGCTCTCGAACGAGCTGCACTTTTACACATTTGGTTCCCAAAATCAAGAATTCCTCTTAAAGCTTAAAGCCTGTAAACTGTGACGAAATACAAATGAAATCAACTTTAAAGCTTCGAAGATGGAAATCTGGAAAAGCGTCAATATCTTAAAGCAAAGTCGTTACGTTTCCTCTGTAATTACATAAAAAGTTGGACATAAAAAAGAGAGATGTGTGGTTCGGTTGTGGCTCCAGGGTGGGGCCACGCTGCTCTTCTCTGGGGGAAACCGAGAAGAAGGAACAATAAGGTCATTGATCCACAAGGCGAACGCTCAATCACTCAATAATTTACAACCCAGGTGCGGGGTTCCTCTATAAGGAAATCAGGCTTGCATCCTTATATGAGCGTCAGAGATAATCCTGCTTATTCTTTTCTGAACATCAAGCCGTATTTTTTTTTTTAACTCCATTAGCTGTGAGATAACAGAGTTTACTCATGTGCACGAACAGGCCCAATATTGTTCCTGTGTAATCTAATCCAGAGATAGCAGAAGCCATTACGGCCGGATCTGAGCGGTGGTCTGATGGAGTCTGGGGTTTTTGGATCAGCTCCACGGAGGAACTGTCACTTCGGCTTCACGTCCAATCCGGTGAAATATCTGCAGCCAGACCAGTGACATTTCCCAGGACTAAAAAAAGGAGCCGGCCGCCTGTGTGACGCAGCATGTGACAAAAAAGACTGGGACTTTTCAGCAGGATGCAGAGTTTCCTTTGACACGTTTTGGATTAAATGTAACACGAGTCCTTTTATGAAAACAGTTAATGTGCTCCTACTTCCACATATGTACCATGGCTTTATATTTGAACATAATCATGAATGACAGCTGCGTTTAGATCATTTAAGGCATTCTAATGAAGAAACTGTGGATATAAACATCACTAAAATGGAGATTGTCCAGAGACACTTTTCTAAGACGACAGCTTAGCTGATGCTAACCGTCTAATTTTGAACATTTAAGATGAAACAAATATAGAAGGAAAATCCTACCAAGTCACAAAAAGTCCTCTGCGGATTTGATTAAGATGGTTGACATCTAGAACGAGGGTCTCCATTACAGAGTTTACCCACATTCAGCGTTTATGGAAAGTAGACTCCATCTTTATCATTATACAAAGATAAACACATTTAAAGGCTATTTGCTTCTTGTATTAATATCAAACTACACAAAACGTCTGTTTTTTTTGTCATCAGATTATCAGCAAGATGAGATATGTCTGAATTAATTTGATTAATTCTGCCCTGGCCATCCTAATTACAATATAAATGACCAACTCTGTCCAAGCATTCATCTTAAATTCAACATAAAGGCATCATGTTGTTATTGACAAAACTAATCTGTCTGGCTCTAAGTTTTGGCTGTGGCTGTGAGACAATGGGCGTGATGAAAGCGAGCAACCTTTTTTTCATTCAGCTGCTTTTTCACACACCACAGAAATCAGATTCCAGATTAGAAACCGCATTCAAAGCACTCCAGCCCACGCTGTCTGCGCCCCGATGATGATGATGATGATGATGATGATGGGGGGGTGGGGGGGCACGGCACCCATCCTCTCGGTGGAACCGGGCATCGCCCCCCCCCCCCCCCCCCCCCC